TCTGATCTGTTCTCACCATATCCCTAAAGGAGATGGTGTTGGGTTGTTGGAAATGGTTGTGGGGGCTGGTTGAATCACCGTTTCATGGGTTGAATCATTGTTGAAAATGAGATGAGTGGTTTTGCGTTTTGATTTCTTATTTGAACGAGCAATTTGGTCACGTTCTTCCAGTGAGGTTCCTTGGTTGAGAGCGTTTTCCATTGTATTAAAAAAATTTCTTTTTTTTATTTTTAATAATAATAATAATAATAATAAATAAAATAAAAAATAAATAAATAATAATAATAATAATAATAATAATAATAATAATTTCGTCATTATGTTTTTCTTGCTTCGCGGTTACAGTCTGCTGGGTTGCAGACGAAGCTTCTACGGCATGCTGGTGTTTTTGACCTTGGTCGAGCTTTTGAGGATGCGTTGAGCCTGTTCAATAGAACGGTGGAGTATGACATTTTGAGTAATCCTAGTGAGGTCACTGCCCCTAAACTCATGAAGAAATTGGCAGATATATATTTCACAAAGGTTACCGATCCTGCAGAATCCACCTTCTCTTTATCTCCTCGTCAATCAGCATTGTGGAAATCGCAGCAGGAGATCACACCTCTGCTTGGCTTCGGGCGGTTCCTATTTTGGGGTAGGGTCAGACGATGAACGCAAAGACTTACCGGTGTGTGTTGTGCTACCGCTTGGGTGTTCCGTTGTTCTCTGCCTCGACGTCGTGCTCTGCTTGTTCAAGGGTTTTTACTAGGGATTGTTTCGGTGATCACGCGGTGTCGTGTGTTGGTATAGTGGGTGTTAAAAATCGGCATTATGTTGTGTGGGATACCCTTCTTGATGTTTGTTATCGATCTGGGATTTCAGCTAGAAAGGAGGTTGACATTGGGTTGTCTGGAAGGAACGACGGGGCCCTCAGACCTGCAGATGTGTTACTTTATTCTTGGGATCGTGGTCGCGATGTCTGTGTTCTTGACAGGGTCTTCTCCTTTGACACGGTCTGGGTAATCTGGCTTTGTTCCTGGACGGGTTGTGGCTGATGCAGCTCGTCGGAAGCAGATTAAGTACGAATCCAGTTGTTGGACAATTGGATATGGCTTCCTTCCTTTCTCTTTCTCTACATTTGGGGAATTAGAAAAGGAGGCGGTTGCTTTGTTGAAGTGGATCCAGAAGTACTCGAAGACTCAAGACATTGGAGCACGTGCTGCTGTTCATATCTTCACTAGATAGGATTTGCTATAACTAGAGGAGTGGGGGCCCAGATTGTATCTCGGCTTCCCACTAAGTTTTTATAGGTTGTATGACTTTGTCTTTTTTTAGATAATAATAATTATTATTATTATTATTATTATTATTAACTTAGCATTTTGCTAGGTACTTGGTATAATGATATGCATTTGTATCTGTAGATTAAATAATTGGTTACAACAAAAATTCATGGCACACTGATCACATTTTCTGACAATAATCATCCAAAAAAAGATGACTGTTTGTTTAATTTTTATTTATAAAAGTCATTTGGGTTAGGGGTACATGAAACTGCTATGAGTTGAGCATGTGAACGGCAGGGCACAGTCATAATATCGCAATATATACAAGCACGGAGGTGCAAGACTATTTAAGAAGGTTATAGAGGTTATAGTTGTACAAAAGATAATAGTTGTATAGTTGTATGGTCTCCAAAAAAAAAAAAAAAAAAAAAAAGATAATACTTGCATAAAATTTCAATAACCAATGCAATTCAAATCATAGTTTTTTTTTTTTTTTTTTTTTTTTGGCAACAAATACCCTTTTTGGTTTTTGTATACCGACACCGTGAGTCCATGACGAATTATATACTTTGTACAACATAAAGTATTGCCTTGCTAGGTGCTATTGTGCTAATAACAATAATTATAATCTTAGCTTTAGTACAAAATAATTCCAATACAATGTACAAAATACATGTATAAAAGCTTGTGAGAGCTGTGTTATAGTATTGATTAAACTTACCTATAGTGAGCAAAAGACTGTAGCTAGGTTCAAATGCTTCTCATTTTTTATTTTTTATTTCATCCAAGATAATGCCATAGGTTTGAAGTCTAGTACACTTTGCAAATGCAAAACGTACAGAGTAATAAATATTTGATAGGTTTATCTTCAAAATAAAAGCTCATATTTATATCAATTTTAAATATTTTGTTCATAAACTTCTAGCAAACTCGAAAATTACCCAAATATTTCAATAATAAGGTATTTGAATTTGTAACATTGCCGAAAATTTACAGAGCAATAGTGACCTACCGACCAGCCCAAAAGAATCCTCAGTCAAGTTATTTAGGGTTTATTATGTTCACCTTATTTTCACTTACTATTTCAGGTTTAGTAAGTCTATATAAGTTCAGATAAGTTCAGTTCAGGAAAAATAAGTTTTGTTAAGTTCAGTTAAGTTCGGATAAATGAAAATCAGGTGAATATAGCACACTCTAAGGGCCTTGTTCAATTAAATTAATATAAGTTCAAATAAGTCAAGTTAATGAAAAAATTCTGAAAAAATAAGTTCTATTAAGAGTTACTCAAATTCAAAATACAACTAAAATAAGTAGTGATATTCAAACTATTACTACGTATATATAATCAATTTATATTTGCTATCCCTGAACGTGAGGAGATTAAAGCTTGAGGCAAACAAGTGGTGATAGTACTAGTATTTAAAAAAAAAAAAAAAAAAAAAAAAAAAAAAAAAAAAAAAAAAAAAAAAAAAACAGATACACACACAAATACATACTCATTAGAAAAAATGGTGAAGATATAATAAATACTTGTGTGAGGGAAATTAATTAAGGGGAGCGTGGCAAATGGCAACGTTAGGAGAAAGGTTAATCATGTGAATTCAGGAGACGTTACTAATACTGGCAATTCCATTGACTCTACTGAGCTCCTATCTTTTGACAATTGGCGCCTCTACTCTCCCAATTCTATCCATATTTTTTTAATTATCTTTTCTTTTTAACGGCCAAATCAGCCCTTAAATGGGCTAATTTATATGCTATTTTATGTTCTCCATATGTTTCAAATTGAGAGAGTTTATTTTATTTTTATTTTTTTTTTTCTCCACCTGTTTCACCCTTTGGGCTAATTTGAATTCGGGGCTTAATTTTGAGTGGTTAGGTTTTAGTCCCCTCCCCATTGTTGTTGCGAAGGATCGAACAGAGAGTTTATTCTTTATGCTTACTTGGTTTAGTAAAGAAAGTTTTGACAGAAAATGAGCTATTTTGACCAATATAATACATATGGTTGAAACATACACTATAGCTGTTTGGTAAAGAGCTAATTGTGAATTTGTGTTCAACCCTCTAATTTCACTCTTTGATTTAGAAATTACCATATTTACTCTTTATATGTATCTATTTCACGTTGTACAAACACCTAACACAGTCAGCTAGTTAAAATGTCCAACGCAACTAGCAGTCAATTAAATCATCAAACCGTGCTAACAACTATCGGTTAATCACCAAATAGAGTCCTCCGTGATTTAAACAAGTTTTGGAGGATTTTTTCAACCCAACAATCGATATGTGGCTCAAGGTTACTTTTTTTAGTGCAAACACAGTAGCCCAATCTTTGTTAGCTCGAGTAGCAATAACTGTAAATTCGCCCTTGAGGAGCTCTTTAACTAGGTGCATTTGGTTAATTTAATACTTCGTAGTAAATAATCCGGTGAACACAAGTGTTTTGAAGTAGTGTTTGTAAAATTGTAATACTCCATTTACTATCTTTGTAATTTTCAAATTTTGTTATCTCATGTCAATGATAAATTGGAGTATATTTTGCGTTAAACCGTATTATGTGTTAAAATTCTAGATAACATTTTTAGATTAATATATACCCTTTTCCTTTTAATAATGCAAGAAACGCGAATTTTTGACAAAATATACTATTACAATGAAAATGAAATTTCAATGCTGAGAAATATTTAATAACGTGGTCCTTATCATTAGTAGACAAAGACTTCACTAATAAAAATGATTATGATGATAATTACTGAAGCAAACAGAGTGATACATGCATTACAAACGAATTCTTAGTCTCCATTTGTATGAATAAAGCTCTTTAGACGCGTAAATTAAAAAAAATTTGGCACTTGTACAAGAATTTAGAAGAAAATAATAAACCAAAAAAGAAAAGGAATTTTCTTTTCTGAAAATGCTAACCAGCTAATTTCTTGGTGTATAGAGGTCTATTAGTTCTTGGAATGTTTCATTACCATCTCCGCTAGTTAGTAGTGATAAGACTAACAAACATGTATTATTGGCAATCATAATTCTAACAAATTCTCTATAATCATGTGATTAGTTTATTTTAGAACATTTCATTACATGTTTGACTTATTATTACTATTATTAAGGATTATCAGAAATTACTATTCAACTCTACACTTTTTATTTTTCATTTTTTTTCTAGTATCTAAACGTGAAAATTTCAGCCTTTGCATGCAATTATATGATTGGACAGTTTTTCACGACCGAATTGTTTTAGGGGGCCTAACTACATGAACCTTCTAACTTATTTCATGGAGTAAGCATTTCTAACCACAATTTTTGTAAAACAAAAACAAATAATGTTCTTTTAGAAAATAAAATTTGGTAGTCAGATATTTTAAAAAATGACGAGCATAGTTAACTTATCCTTTCGATCGATAAAGCCGATAACAAATTTATAGAAATTATATGGACAGACTGAATTATCATAAAAATGCCACCTTTCTAAAAATTAAATTCTTTTCTTCTCCTTTCGGTTGGAAGGGGATTAGAGTTATGATTAGATTTTGTCTTAATATCTAGGTAGCTCAAGTTCATAATTCTACTAAAACATTTAAGTAATGTACTCATAATTCTACCTAATCAAATTTATCTAATTAAATTAAATGAAAAGGAACAATATTTTGTCTGCCTTCGGTTGGTCCAATATTATTCTATAATCTCATATTCCACACACCCTTAACTTCCAAGAGCTTTGAATACCAAAACCAAAGCTAAAGAAGAAAAGAATAAAGTCGCCAACCTTATACTATAAATAACTATATAATTATAATTTAATTAATTAGATATCAATGAAGTACCCTAAAAAAAAAAAAAAAACTACTCCCCCTAACAAACACGTCCTTATTTTTTTTTAAAAAGAAGAAAATTCAAGTGGGCTTTGAGCTGTGATTTAGCTGGCCCTTGATGTAATATTTTCTCTCTCATCCTCACTAAATATACACATACAACTCTCCTCAGATTTCATACACTACCTACATTACATAGAAACCCCCAAAATTTTCCTTACATTAATAAAAAGGAAAATTCATTACTTGAAAACACAAAAACAAAAACCCTTCTCTTCTTCTTCACCTCACAGTCCTAAATCAAAATCTCCTCTTTTTTTCTCTCTCCTCTTTTTCTTCTTGTTTCTCTCACTAGACAAGAAAACAAGAACAACCCACATTATTTTTTTCAGATCTCCATTTTCATTACCAAAACTAAAATCAGTGAGAGAATTTGAGAGCAGCTCACTCTCTTTTCTTATATCCTTGTAAAAAAGGAAAAAAGAAGAACAGTTCATTTGATTTTATAATTTATTTCTGGGTTGTTTTATAGATGTCTCATATGAGATGATGAAGAAGACAACCCATATTTCAAACCCTTTGTTAATTTGTTCTTCTTATTTTGTTATCCTTCTAAACATTGTTTCTTTACTATCGGACACCTCCTCGGCTTTCATCGGAAATGGGAGGCTCAGCGAAGCGGAGGTGAGTTACATTAGCCGACGGCAGCTTCTGTATTACAAGGATGAGTTCGGTGACAGAGGTGAGAAGGTAAGCGTCCCGCCTAACCTGAGTTTCGCCAACCCAAGGTTAAGGGACGCCTACATTGCTCTTCAATCGTGGAAGCAAGCCATTCTATCCGACCCATTTAACTACACGGCTAATTGGGTCGGATCCGACGTATGTCATTACACAGGTATATTCTGTGCTCCGGCACCAGACGATCACAACATTGAGACAGTTGCCGGCATCGATTTAAACCACGCAGACATCGCTGGCTACCTCCCGGAGGAGCTGGGTCTCCTCCGGGACTTGGCGTTGTTTCATATCAACTCGAACCGATTCTGCGGGACTGTCCCGCAGAGGTTCCGCAACATGAGATTGTTGCACGAGATAGATCTGAGTAATAACCGCTTTGCTGGGAAGTTTCCGAGAGTGTTGCTCTCTTTACCCAGCTTGAAGTACCTAGATCTAAGGTTTAACGAGTTTGAAGGAACTGTCCCACGAGAGTTGTTTGATAAAGATCTTGATGCCATTTTCATCAACCATAATCGGTTCCAGTTCGAGCTTCCGGATAACTTTGGGAACTCGCCGGTGTCAGTGATTGTTTTGGCGAACAACAAGTTTCATGGGTGTGTACCTGAGAGCTTGGTTCACATGGAGAATTTGAATGAGATTATTATGATGAATAATGGGTTTAGATCTTGCTTGCCGAGTGACATGGGTTTGTTGCAAAATCTTACGGTTTTTGATGTTAGTTTCAACGAATTGATGGGTTCATTGCCGGAGTCGATTGGTCAGATTACGACCTTGGAGCAGCTCGATGTGGCGCATAACATGTTCTCCGGGTACATTCCGGCTAGTATTTGTAAGTTGCCCAACTTGCAAAACTTTACTTACTCTTACAACTTCTTTACCGGTGAGCCGCCGGCTTGCTTGCGGCTACCTTCGACTAGTGATAGACGGAATTGCATTCCGAAACGGCCCGTGCAACGCTCTGCTTCTCAGTGCAGAGCGTTCTTATCACACCATATTGATTGTAGCTCATTTGGGTGTGGTTCATCTACACCTTCACCTTATGCTCCAACTTATCCTTCACCACCTGTTGTTGTTTATCCTTCACCGCCTCTCATCTCGTCTCCCCCTCCTCCCGTGTTTTCGCCTCCACCTCCACCACCTCCCGTGTACTCCCCACCACCGCCTCCACCTTCTCCACCACCGCCTTCACCTCCACCACCACCTCCGCCAGTTTACTCCCCACCTCCACCCCCACCACCACCCCCACCACCGTCTCCACCTCCATCACCGCCACCACCACCACCGCCAGTCTACTCTCCGCCGCCACCGCCACCCTCCCCACCTCCACCTTCACCCCCACCTCCCTCGCCTTCACCGCCACCGCCTTATCTATACAATTCACCTCCCCCGCCCCCGCCTTACGTTGAGCTTCCACCCCCACCAGCACCATCATCACCGCCGCCTTGTCCTGAACATCCACCGCCATTTATGCCTCATCCTTCGCCGCCTTATGTATATGTATCACCACCCCCACCTTCGCCGCCACCCGCTCCAACCTATGAAGGTCCATTGCCACCCATCTTTGGATTGCCATATGCTTCACCTCCACCCCCACCTTTCTATTGATTCTTTTGTTGAGATGAAAATTCAAATTCTCTTTCCTCTAACTTCCCCTCTCTTGTTGAAAATCATGATCACATTCTTAGCTACCATTATTACTATTACTAAAACAACTATCATTACATTTTACTATTTCGCTTCTTCAATTGGTGTTTTCTTTCGGGCAATAAAAGAGGTTGTTGTAAGCTTGTATCATAGCTTATATAGTCGTCTTGTATCAACGGCGATGACAACGACGGCGAGAAATCAACAAAGAAGTGAAAAACAAAGAGGAGGAAGAAGTCTATATTCCACAAAATTCATTCATAAATTGTTATGGATAATCTGAGTTTGTCAAATAAAATTTGGTGCAGCGGAAGGTCGAAAAAAGAACCAAAAAATTCTAAAAAAACAAAAAAAAAAATTAGAAATTGCAGGGGATAAGTGTATGTATAGGCTTTTTTTATGCAAAAATTGAGGAAACAATCATAAATGTGGATGGATTAAGGGGGAAATTTGCAGCTATAACACTTATCCCTGGTGTTGCTGCTGCTGCTATGTGGGTTTGTTATTAATTTCTTTTTTTAATTTATGATCATACCTTTTTTTTTTTTAATTTCATTTTGATTCTCCATTTATAGTATAATTTTGGAACAATTTTTACTTTGTATCCATTTTTCAGAATTCATATCACTTTTGTCTCTCTTTTCTTTCATTTGTTAATTTGTGTTCTTCATATTTCTTGCAGTTTGTATAGTTCTTCTAAAATTGGATTATTTATGAAACGCGTATATATGTGATTGCTATGAAAGTATGAATACAGAAGCGATTTCGATATGGTTATTCATAAATGCATGATATTCTGCAGAATTTTGCAACTTTAGTTTATTGTTATAGTGCTACATTGTCAACCAGAAATTGAGCACAAAATTGGGTGCTCCATTTTTAGTCCAAGAACTAAAGTCTACATCAAATTTCCAAGATTGGGAATCCACATGGGGGTTGGTTATTTGGTGATCCAATTCTTTTCACAACTTGGATCAATCTATTTTGTTCTAGGATTAGGACATTTGAGTACATTACATACTCTGCTAGTTGTTTACAGCTCTTCGTGTTCGCGACTATAATTAGTGTATTTTTATTCAATTCATTCTCTCGAGTGAATGCGAAATGCGATATGATTTAGGTGAATGATTAAGGGGGAGTAACATAAAGGGTGTTAGTATAGAATTGTGATCTGGTGACCGAGGCGAGCGAGGGAAGAGAAATATAAGTAAGAAATGAAATACTAAATCTTGTAAACATATACAAGTACTAGTAGTTCTGTATTAGAGTCAGAGGTTTTTAGGTTAATTAATTAGATTAGTGTCACGAGATCCCACCATTATTTGTTCAAATTTCAAACTTGTAGTGAGTAGATAGTTGGCCTTAACACTCCTTGCTTCAACTATACACTTTAAACACCTCCTTGAATTTCGGGAAATTATGACCCCTAGAAAAGATACAGAGAACTATGGTGCACATTTTTAAAAGAAATCTTGGCATTTTTAATCTTTTTTTCAAAGGGTTAATTATTCTTTAAATCTTCTTTTTAAAATGGTTTATCTCTAAAAAGAAGTTACGCGTAGATATTACAATTATGAGTTGGGTTTGAAATTATTTACGAATTGAAACTTATTTTTACTTTTATGAGTAATTAACTTCTTATACTTTGCCAATAAGAATGCTATTGCTTTTGATTAATGTCAATACAAAGGGTTAATACTCTCCTAATTTTTATTAAACTGAAATTATTTTTACTTGTTTTTTTAGACAATTTTTTAACTTGATGTTACGAGTAGCTTCTTATACTTTGCCGATAAGAATACAAATGTTCTATAAAAAGTCCTCTAATTTTTTTCTTTTTTTTTTTTTTTTTGGTAAATAAAAAGTCCTTTAATTACTCAATGCCTTTGAGTTTTAATGAAAGTATGAATCTTGTTTTTATATGTGAAGATGTATTGATTATTAAAGTAGGAAATGAAATAACGTGAAAGAGTTCACAAGTGGAGTTGTAAAAAGTCATTGCTTTCATGTTTTGTTGTGCTCTTTAGGAGAGCATTATAAGGGATGGCTAGGTAGTGAAGGAGAAAAGCACAGTACAAAGAAATATAATAAAGCAAATGGTTTTCAACAATTTACCGACAAATGGGGATGGGAATTTGAGAACTTAATTTTTTTTTTTTTTTTTTTTTTTTTTGGTAGGCTGATTGACGTCTTCTATTTAACACTTGTCATCAATCAGTTATAGAATAACAAACTAGCTAAAATGTCCTTTAAAAATACACAAATTAAATTTTTAGGTAAAATAGTTGTACTACGTATATTATTCAATTCCCTAAATTTCGTGTGAAAAGCACTAAAAAAATTCGTTTTTATTTCGCAAATTTTAACTGACATAATGTTAGCAATGGTGATCTAATAATCATCACAACCTACTCACATTTAAAACAAAAACTGATGGTAAATTTTAATCAGACCTTAATCCTAACAGTTTTTAATTAATTAAAAGGTATCACTAACCACACCAAACCATAAATCCCTTATAATTGAGTAGCATCATAATAGACAATTCTAAGTATAGCATATAATGGTTAACAATATCCTAAAAAGTTACTTATAGCAACCGCACCAATTATCAAGAGAGAGAGAGTCTACTTCACAAGTCTAAAGAAGGTTCCATTCCAAAATCATATGACAATTGAAGAAGTAGTCTCTTAACCTTATAAAGTGTAACTCGCTTTTCTTTTCTCAATATGGAACACTTATATGTGTTGTTTGGGAAGTTTATAATTCAACAAGTTAATTACCTCTTATTTTTACTAAAACGATTAATCATACATTATACATATGTACCAATACAACAATAACAAGTTCTATGATTAAAATTTGAGAGTGTTAGTTAATATGGGAGTCTAACTAGCTAAGACACAGAATAAACATTGAAAAAAAAAAGGCCGTTAAAAATGGAGCGGGCAAACGACGCACCACCTTATCTCTCGTGCAACTGATGATCTCTTTGAATAAGTCACTGCTGTCCCCCCACTAATTAAGGGGCAGTTGGATTTGCCATTCACTATTTCTACTTCTACTATTTTGCATGTGACCTCTAAGTTAATTACTCCTTCAAATGTCTTTTTCTTTGCTACAAAATATTGAAGTATAAAGGTATAATAAACCATGATTATATCAAATTACGTTACATGGCTATGCAACCCTATCACAAGACAACCTCGGATTAATAAGAGAATTATTAAAAATTGAACCAAATAAAAATTAATTTTTAAATTGTTTAATTAGTTAACATATAACTGATTGCGATACGTATAATACACAACGGTTGTCACAAATATTATTTGCATTTCATTTTCCTAAATCTTTCTTACAAAGTTTTTGTAAAGTTGCGCTAATGGTTCTAAGCCGGCATTGGGCAGAAAATTTTGCCAAAAAAAACACAAAGAAAAAAACGTATTATTATCTGAATTAATTCTTTTTTGAAAGAAACACATTAGATAACTGAAACCACATGCATTTTTAATTTGCAGGTGTCGCTTTTTCACATAAAAGAATGATAAGATAATAGGCTTTTATTTTATTTTCCAAATGAGATTGAACATGACTTTGTTATCATTTCTAATCATTTGTCTATATTTGATGTTAACGATCTCCGATGTGAACCTTCCTTTGCTGCACAGGATGATACGATAGTCATCTTATAAGTTGGTAGAAAAAAATTCACAAAGTTTTATATGTGGTTGACCACATTGTCTGATTGAGGTTAATCGGTTAGAAATTATTTAGTAAAAAATTACTCGGTCGATTAGGGGTTACTTTGTCAAGGTTTACTCAATTGGTAAGGAGTTAATACTCGGTCGATAAAGATTTACTCGGTCAGGGGTTACTTGGTCATGGGTTACCCGATCAGTATTTTAATGTGTATCAGCTGACCACACAGAAAACGCGCTGATATCTCCGAAATATCCAAAACCCTACGAGTACGTATTTGCATATTTTTCCCACTTTCCACCTCTTAAATAAATAAATAAATAAATAAATAAATAAATCTTCCTTAGAGTTGACCGATATACCAATTGAATGTGAAGAACCGTACAATGAGTTTAAAGACGAAATGAAAGTTGACCGATATGAAGTAGCACATAATGTCCATGATGCAATTCAGTTGTTCTTGTACTTACTCAAGGTTAAATGCAACCTCTTTCAGTAAACGAATCCTAAGAGTTAATAAAAATATTCAATGATGATGGTTATGCTCACAAATAATTGATTCAAAAAAAAAAAAAAGGTACAACTTTTATTTTGCGTTATTACTCTATCTCGATTATCAACAAATCTTCATGTGATTTGCTAACTGATCAAACGTTGGTTAATTGTGAGTATTATATTTCACAAGTCCACGGTGAAAAATGAAGCAATAAATTTGTATGTAATTCAAAATGGCTACTTAATAATCGGTTTGAAGGTTAAAGCCGTTAAATAACATCACTTGTTATTTGATCTCTGATAATGGGGTCTTGTTATAATCTTAGGTTTCTCTCTATCTTCAAGATGTTATAAAATAAATGAAAACAATACAACATGTCATGTCTAATGAGAAAATAAGTTTATAATCGAATTTATGCTTACTTTACAATTAGAGCGAGTTTCCTCGGCTCACCATTAAATAGACCCCACACCATATACGGAAAAATTAACTCTATGATGTATTCGTTTGGATTAAGCTTATTGTTTTTGAGTTTTCTTTTCAAAATAGCTAATTTTTCATTATTAGTAGCCTCCCTCGAACATTTTCGCATAAACAAAAAAAATCCATCTGTCTAGTGAAGAAAAAACTAAACGAAAGAAAGGGGCCCTAAAAACATAGCTTACCACATGGGTTGTTAGATTATTTCTCCTTAAATTTTAATATCATAGAGTATATATGATGATGTTTGTATAATCATACAGTATATTGAATGATGCATATATTTATATATACAATATAGTTTATTTTTCGTATATTATAATTTGACTATTTTTTGTTCCAACGCATTCACATAAAAATTTATTACTACTACTGTATATCATTGATTCTGTGTATTCATGTAACGTAGCTACTTTCATACATTAAATTTGTAGGCTCATCTTACAGCCTGTGAGTGTGAGTTAGTTCGAATAATTTAATGCTCTCTTTTTGTAATTGGTGATGCTCATGCTATTGACGTCAACTTATGTTTGGTCATGTACTAACCACTTTATTCATCACTTTGCATTTACAATTTTCCATTTACTATTCATATTTTAGCTTAGAACCGTATCTATCTTTATCTATTTAACCCTATACCATACATCTACTACTGGTAATAATTGTTATGCTTTGAATTTGTTTTTTTGGGCATCATGCACCAAGGTGGTTTTTAGTCTCTGAAGAAGTAAATTAAAGCACCTGTGAATAATAAGTAAAGCATATGTGAGAACGTTACTTAGTTTACTACTTTGTATCGAATTTGTATGAACTTTTAATTTGAAAAGATATTTACCGTAGTCCTTATATGTTTCTTATTACGGAGTATAATGCGCGCATAATGAATAAATAATTGTGCGACAATATTAAAAAGGGTAGTGTTGTGCGACAGCGGAAGCAAAGGTCGTAAACAAACAAGAAAAC